CACAAAACTAAATTAATCAATACTATCTGAATGAAACAGTCTTTTATATCATGACAATGACAGTGTAACTTAAAGGAATGAAATCAAAATTCTTGGCCTAACTGGTAATTTCACTTATAGCATTGATAAGAATTTTATAGCAAATATTTATTCATTACTTAGCTAGGCTGCGTATTTTGTTTTACCCATCATCACACCCTATGTTGAACAAAAGATGTGGCCTGGCTACCTAATGAATGAATACTTGCTGGAAAATTCTTATCAATGCTATAAGTGTAGTTACCAGTTTGGCCACAAATGTTGATTTCATTCCTTTAATGTGCATGTTCAATCTTTTTTTTGGCTGCACCTTTTTTTTTCACACCTAAGATGTTTTGGAGCAGATTATGCTAACAAAGAGGACCAAGAAAGAAATATAACTACAAAAAACAAAAACTGTCAGTAAAATAAACTATAATAATAAAAAAAGACCATAAGCTTTAGGTTTTTATCAACAGATTCAAGCTAAATATACAGTACACCTTCAAGATTTATATTACTTTTTTCCCCATACATAAGAATATCACAAACTTTGCAAACAAAAACACATGCACTGAATGTAAAACATTTTCATTATATAAACACAAATATTAACATATAAGCAGTTATGTAAAAAAAAAAAAGCCCTTACCCATACATTTGACACTACCGTAGCTACAGAAAAAAATTTAAAATTGTAATATTTCTTTTTTTAAAAAAGCTAAAGTTAAAACTAAGAGCATTAGAGAATTTTCATAAAATTACTCTCCATTACCCTTCTGTAGTGGTAGCCTTACTAAACTTGGAGTGGGAATGATGATTAAGAGATGGGATAAGTTCACGAAGGGTATCAAAACCATACTGAAAAAAACATTAACATTTCTATAAGTCCGATGATTTAAAATTGGTATGTTTTACATTTTTCTTTTAGAATAAAAACATAAATTTACAAGGAAATAGGCATATGATTTCAACTGCAAAAATATTTGGAGTGAAGGAACAAAAACAAAAGACTTGTGTAAAAAAAAAATATTTGAAGCACCATGAGTGTCAAGAGAGAAAGATAAAACTAAAATAATAACTAAACTTTAAGAAGAACTACACACTTTAAATTAATCTCTAAAGCAATATAGTCTATAGTATTAGGGAACAACAAATTTACATGGATGCAAATTTTGATATTTTCATGTGTACTATTTCTTCAGTCTATTTATTATTACTATATCTGTCTTTATATTATTAAAATACATAAAACATCTGAATAGCAGTGCCTCTGAATGATTCTTGTAACAGCATGTTCTAGAGCTATCCATAGGCACCACTATTCATAAGAACTTTAGAATGATCAGTTCAAAGCACAATTAATATGATCACTAGACGGTACTCAAAGTTAATTGTATAAAACACACATCTGATGCTTTTGATGCACTACTATGTTTTCCATGAATGTACACAAAAAAGTATAAAATTACTTTATGTATTAAAATTCTTAAGTCTTAACTTGTTACCTTTAAGTTACTTTTTTTTTGTTGGAGCTTTCATTCACTTAAACACCACAAATTTTTAGGTGTTTTACTTTAAATTTCAAAGTAATTAAAAATTATATAATATAAAACAGGGCAACCTTGATCAAAATGATTTAAAGCTTTAAAATAGCTAGTTTTAGGAACTGCCTAATAGTAATTAGATCTTATGTGTGTGAGACTATCACCTGGCTTAGTAGTACTGGTTAAGCTTTCAGATTTTTTTTTCAGAATATGGTGTTGACATAAAATCTGTAATCAGCAGTGTTATTCCTGAAAATGTTTACTTCAACACAGTAAATATATTGTTGTATTCAAAGCTCTGAGAGCAGGAAATCCTTTTATTCTTTTTATTTTGTTTTTAAATGATTTAGCTCTGAAAAGTGTAACATAAATAGAGGTGAACCATCATTTAATTTTTGTTAATTTCATTCTTTTTTAATTTTCTACTACAAATAATAGGCTGCATCTTTCATTTAAAGTGATAATGTTTCTATAAATTTCCTAAGGCAAACCAAGTGCACGATTTGAACATTAAAGGGGTTCCTCACCTTGATATCACATCTTCTTTTCTGTTCTGCATTAATGTGGTTAACTTGTCTGTGTTCTTTATATTTGACTCTGTGGTCCATGAATGACTTCAAACAGGAAAGAAATAAAGCATTATGTTTCATACAATTTTTGCTGCACTGAATGCCTGGTTTGTGATACATATTGACTCTCTTCCACTCATCTTTATCAAGCTGAAGAAGATGAGAAGAGGCTATTTGAACATTGATGTGTATCACAGTCTAGGCACACTAATATCCAGGTTATAGACTTTATATCTTGTATATTTATGCATCAATCATTGATGTAATGTGTTTTGTATTTTTAAGTTTCATAAATAAAAACAGCTTTGTATGGGCAAACATTTTCATTCATATATTAACAAGTTTAATGTATTTTTCAATACTATTTAACTCGTAAATTATTCTGCACAATTATATTAACCAACTGTTCATGGGGCTCAGTCAAACTGACCAACTCCATATCTTTGAAGCTCTACATACTAATGTTTACTGTAATTCTGAATTTGCTATATGTGTTTTCATGAAATTAAGCAATGTGAATGTCTGAAAAGTACTACAATTTATCTGGTTTTCTAAGTAAGCAATAAATATGTTAAGCAATTCCTTTATCATTCACAGCAGAAAAATATGATCACCACTAAGCATTTGACTATGAATTTCTGAAGCCTTTACTGAGTCAGTCTGAGTAAAAGGTGATTTTTATGCTAAGAATAAAATACTTCTTTTTATCTTAGTTTTATATTTCATTTGCAAAACCTATAAAAACTCTTATATGAATATTGAAAGTTTTTTTCCGTAAAACTATATATTTTACCTCTATTTCCTGTACCCTAACAGATGCATCATTTGACACAAAAAAAATGAACACTGAGAATTTTTATATATATATATATATAAATTTTTAAATTAAGAAATTGAAACTTAGAATCTGAATTATAAACTGCACTTTCTTCTTAAGTTGATTGACATATGTTGATGATAAAGTTATTTAATTAAAGTTTGAATAAAACACTGTAAAAGCTCATGATGTGTACAAAAGAGCCAGGCTCAGAAGCAAAGAGTTAAACAAAAAATATTATATATAAGCATTGTTGGCATCAAAAGAACAGTTTCTAGCAAATTCAATAAGCATTAATAAAAATATATCTGATGCTGAAACAGGCTATAATGTACTATTCAAAATTAAATATTAATCATGTTTTTATGCAAGAACAGGTTTCCATCATTTAATGGAAACAACACATTATGTCATCTTCTCAATAAATTTTACTTTTAATGTTTATCATTTACAATATATTACACAATTTCTCATGAACTGCCTGTTAAAAATGAATGTGATTGAAATTTCACTGTCATATTCATTAGCAAAATTGAAGAAACAGAAACTTGAAAAAAAAATTATTGAATTTTTATCACCTAAGTGTAAGAATAAACAGAGCATATAATCAAATTCTTTGATAATTCATGGTTTTTAAGAAACAAGTCACAAGTTGTTTTATGGATAAAAATTATTTTCCAATAAGCAATTATCAAACAAAAGAAGTTTAGCTTACATTCACAGTTGATGAAAGCTTTCTGGCTGAGTTTTTTGAACCTAAAAAAATTGGCAAAGAAATAGGCAAAAATAATTTAAAATTAAAAGTAATCTGAAACTAAAAGCATAAAATAGATTTTTGAAAGTATGTGTGACTATCAGTTTAGAACACAATAAACGAAAGATTCATATAACTGCACATACATAGTATAAATACAACTGTTCTAACTATGAGAATATAACTACCATTATTATACACAAGACAATGTAAATGTTTTCGATATAACCAAGTCAATAAAGGTGATAGAGTTATGGCCAAGAGTGTAACTTCTATGTTACAACCACAATATTGTAGGCAGCACCTTTAGAGCAAAGAAAAATGACTTAATGTAATTAGCACATATTAATTTACATATACTGTAAAGCCTATTTATATGTAAGTAAAGAAAATATACAGCAGTTTTCTTTATTCATTTGTTCCTGCAAATAAAAACTGAGAACATTACTGAAAGCCTTCAATGTCAAGCCTTATTTGAATATGTTGTTTATTGTTGCAAGGGGCATATGGGTAGCTTTTGCTACTGACCTTTGTGTTTGTAGATTCTTACAAGAAGTAGCATGTTCCTTACTACAGCTGAGGTAACAACTTGTTGTGGGTCTCTTTGTGTACAGTCCTGGTGTCCCAGTTAATTCTCATTCCTTTGTTTTGAAGTAAATCTATATTCTTTTGTTTTCCAATGTTATAATGTACAAGGGACATCTACATCCCTGATCTGAAAATATGTTTTCGGTGGCTACCTTTCAATGTCAAAATGCCATTCCACCACAGCTTTATATCGACTGTGTTTGTCATGTGACTTACTGATTTGCATATCAGAAATTTTTTTATATAATATATTCAAACCTGTCTCAGATTACAACAGAACATTACAAAAACTATATAATCACCATAACCTAGCTCAAATCTTAAAAATAAGTTATATCATACAGTAATAGCTAGTACATTTTTAAAGGCAGAAAAATGTCGTATTGAAGACTATTTCTAACTTACTGTTGATACAAATAGAAGACTGTGGAAGCTTGCTTGTAGATGGTTGACCAGTTAAAGCTTGACTGGCTGCTCCCACTAATAAGTTACGTTGACAATCACTGACAGCCACTGCCTGAAAAGTTTTGTAATTTAGTAATTTATCACATCAAATGAACATAAGAAATTCAGTAGAAACATGTGCTATTGATTAATTATGCTTCTACATAAAATGTCCTTTTTTTCTCAGACAAAAAATGCAGATACTAATTTGAAAGGTACTTAGTATTTTCATTTTTACCTTGGTGAAGGCAACTGATGGCAGAAAAAAAGTTTGTGGACTAAGAGCAGTTGAAGAAGGCCCTGATGAAAGCACTGTAATATTTGGTTTTGTATTTCCAATTGTCAAGTCCTTTGCTTCTGGTTGAGTATCAGACAATTTCTTAGAACCTGAAGACAAAATTCATACAGTATTATAATAACAAAAAATAAACATCATTGAATAAAATCTAGTAAAAGCCAACTTTAATGTGATATTCAATTTTGCTGCAAGTTATTGCACAGATGGTGTTTTGTATATTGGTGAATTCACATGTAGTCCTGCCAAAATGAAAATGAATAATTTAATAGAAGAAGAATTGCATATAACACAACTGGATACATATCTACCATACAGCATCCTTCAAAACTGAGACTAGTTTTTTTGCCTGAAATCTAGCATCATTCTGTTTTTTTTTCTCTATTTGTATTTTACACTTGTTTGATCAATTTATTCATTCCACCTAGAGAGAGAAAAAGGAAAAAAAGAGGTGTGGATTTTATTTCTATACATGTATTCAAATATTGTTATGTGTAATTATATTTTGGTTTGTTAATTCCAGTCAATTTGGGAGGGTTGACTCAAGCACCTGCTTTCCTGCCCTTATGCCCCCAAAAGGACCCTTTTTTCTCTTCTATACAAATTGTCAAGAACTACAAAACGATACACCTGATTTCCCACCTTGCTTGCTATGAGTTGTTTAGAAAGAAAAAATAATTTCAGACTTAAAATAAATGGAACACAAAGTATTATAGGACTACAAAGTAAAAAGAATGATTGTAATATGCTATTAAGTGCTAATATGCAAAAATTTACTGTTTAGTTTTAGATCATAAATGTTTATAAGATTAATTGAATGGCAGTAAAAGAAGATCTGTTTGTTTTTTTATAGATTTTTACCCTATGTGTAGCAGAAGAAACCCAAATTTTCCACAGTTTCCGCTAATACCCCCCCCCCCCAAAGGCTTGCCTTACAATGCTGAAAAGTGCCCTTTTTTCTTAATGAACCCTTGCCCTTTTAATGTTCTCTGCACATTACTGATTCCAGTTATAAGTGTTTTAATTACTTTTTCAATTTGTTTTGTGGTTGAATAAGTGTTTGAATTTAGTAGTCTGACCTATACAAACTAGTATTTTTTACATAAAAGAAAAGGGGTTGCTCATATAAATATTCTCACAACACTAGCTAGTTCTGTAAGTCTTCACGTTATTTAGAAATTGGTAAAACATCTCGATACTCGAGTAACGTTTGTAATTTTATAATGTTACTCACACACACTAAAGTTTCTTCATCACTAAACCTCCAATTTTGAAAACTTGATTAAATTTCACCAGAAACATTTTAATTTTTAAAAAATTATATCTATTTAGACATGTATTTAATAAAATAACTTTAAAACATCTTTATGGTTTTTCTAAAAAAACACACTTAAGTTTACGAAACACTGCTTGACTTTCACTAAAATTGTCGAAAATTAAATGATACAGGAATAAAAAATAACAACCCTATTTACTTGTAAAAGCACTGCAAAAAACATCACAAATGACAATGTTAAAACAGTTGAAATTAGAGGGGCACTCAATAGAGCACACCTCCACTACAGTGTTGATCATATTTGGTTCTTCAAAAATATGAAAATGTGTCCATAAGTCCATTATTATCATCAGACATGGATCGTTTTTTGCAGGACAATGAGGAATAATATACTACATAAGTCCATCAAGTTTCATCAAAATCTGATGAGTTATTGAGTTATAGGGTAAAAACAGTGTGAAAAATTGGTCCCATGATAAAGATTTTTTTGGATTTTTATGACCTTGTGGTGACCTCGACCCTCCAAAAACCAAACACTTCTAAGTTGGGTCATAGTCTAAATGTATACCAGCTTTTGTTCAAATTCATTCAGCCATTTTCAAGAAATCCTTGTGACAAACACACACAGAGGGATAAAAACAACCTCCATCACCTTCGGTGGTGGAGGTAATTAAAATATATATATATATATATTCTTAAAGAGCACATTTTCTTTTTTCAAAGCAAAAAACAAAACAAGTAATAATTACAG